AATTTAGAGGTAAAAGTTTTTGGATATTTTATTTATTTTATACGTGGAAATGTTCATCTTTGGAAAGGATATATACTTTTTCGCGATCAGGCAATTTCATATATGTTCTTTTTACCGGATTTAAAGATTTACAAAATTTTCATGCATTTTCGTGAAATTTTTCTAATTTATGAGAAAAAGCAGTGTACATGGATACAGTGAAGAGTGTGCGCAATGCCATTTTTGTGCAATTCTGGAATTTTTTTTAAGAAAAAATAAGTCGACGTGTACATGGTTTAGTGATATTTTAATTAAATGATAGTTATTTTGTGAATTTTATGTTTGTAGGAATTTGGTATACGTTTCAGTTGAAGTAAACGTGCATGGAAATAATTTAAATATTTGAGACTAAGTATTTGTAACCATTTGTAATGTTTGTGATTGAATTCGTTGGTGACGTTTATAATATAATAAATAATTTAGAGGTAAAAGTTTTTGGATATTTTATTTATTTTATACGTGGAAATGTTCATCCTTGGAAAGGTATATTACTTTTTTGCGATCAGGTAATTTAATATATGTGCTTTTAACGAGTTTTAAAGATTCACAGAATTTTTTTGCATTTTCATGCAAATTTTTGTAATTTATGAGAAAATAGCAGTGTAGATGGATAAAGTTAAGAGTGTGTGCAATGCCATTTTTGTGCAATTCTGGGATGTTTTTTAAGTAAAAATAAGTCGACGTGTAAATGGTTTATGTGTATGTGCTATTCTGAAAAACGCACAAGGAGTTTGCGATTCTGCACTTTTTCGCAATTTTGCAGTTAATATTTGTCATGATTAAGCAGTTTTGTTACATAAAATTTCTAGCATAACTGTAATTCAGCTAGTAGATTGTTGGAAAAAGTGTTCAGTAAATAAAAAGAAAAGAAACATGTCTTTACTTCGTGAAGACAAAATGGCGGCGGAAAAAAAAAAAAAAAAAAAAAAAATAGAGGGTTGATGTAGCAGAGTTGGTCGCAAATTTTCGCCAAAAAATCGCCAAGTTACCATAATCGAAAGATCAACCAAAAGGAAATTCATCTTTGCACTGCACAAAGGAAATATCCACTTACCTTATTTACGAATGAACAGGTCTTCGTGAAACAAAATTCCTTAACAGCATCCAAAAAACTCCTAAAATTATCTGAACTAGAATCTGTATATTGGCATTGCCACATAAATTCACAAAATAAGAGTAAAAATATTCTCCATAACAACATTTGACCATATGCATTTCTTTCCTACAAACAAGACACCTAATAATGGCTACTAAGTAAATCTTCATTTACATACCAGTCAAGTAATGCTCTTTACCCCTTTCTTTCCAAACTGTACAGAACTTCAAATTAATCTTACAACATTCAGCCATTTTACCATCTAAACCAGAAAACAAGCAATATACTTCCTAACCAACACACAAGCATTTATGAATTTACTGCAATCATGCAACTGATTAAGTTATAATAAGGTTTCCATACCATTCAACTACTCAGGCTACCATAAATGAAACAATTTGGCGATAATACAAGGGGTACCCTTCTCCCTACTCTAATCAAGATATTTTCCAAATGCCTTTTTATATATTTATGTACACTGGATTTTTCTACAGCATGGATATCTGCAAAAATTGGAACTACTCTTATATACGCCCTCGCTTGGTAACAAATTTCTCGTCAAACATTTTTGGTGAGGAACTCCACAGTGCCATATTACTAACTAAATTTTTTGTCTACATTTTCAAACTTCAAGCCTAAAATGTCTCCAAAAACGCGGTTTTCGCACATGCAAAAAAACCCGTTTTGAACACACAATTTAAGCTAAAAATCCGAAACAAAAACAAAAAATTTAGATAACAATAACGTAACGTTTCTAACCAAAAATATTTGACAAGAATCCATGTACACAGTGATATGTTTTAACTTAAAAAAAGCATACACAAATTGCACAATCTAGGCAGCAAAAGAATTTACGAACTATGCACACCTCGCTTTAATAAATTAACCTAACATCAATAATTTTCAAAGAATACTATATACACAGCATACTGTTTAAAGTTTAAAAAAAAATCTATGAACTGCACAATCTAGGCATTGCACACAAATCAACAAAATTAACTAAAATTACAAACAATTCAAAAACAACAATAACAACAGAAATTCATAGTAAAAAAACAATGAACATAACATTCAACAAAATAAAAACAGTAAAACAAAATGCACTTACCATAATATTTTCGTTAATAAAATTTCGGCAGTCACATAATGTCTGTGAACAAAAGTGCCACAATTTTGCTATATCACATCTTTCAGCGATTCAAATTTTCAAAAGTAACAATAAAAACTTCCTCCAAAGTTAACTTACTACACGAAAACTACGATCCAAATCTTAAAGCCACATACTTTACCAGTAACCATTTAACTGCAAATCCACACAAAAACTATCAGAAACACCCTTCTTCGTCCGAGTTCTCATAGAAGCTCTGCATTTCAGACTCCGTTTTAAAAGTCCCACCGAAATTCCAAAAATACACTTTGATCCTCATAAACACACCCGAACAAAAGACTTGTTAACAACTCCAACACCGTACCTTTTAATACTAAATTTACTTTCCACACAATCTAAAATACGTGACTGAAATCTTGCCATCACGCTTATGATTGGAACATAGGCCATTTCAAAACACGCACGACACGAACTGATCAGCAATTAAACCTCTGCAGCAAAAGAGTTCACTTTCAACATGAAAAGGGTTGCCATACAAACAACATCCTCTCCAAAACCATTGTGCCAAAAACCAGCACAGAACACATATTGCCACATTTGGTGATGTTAGGGCATATATAAGAGAAGAGCCCAAACATTGATTGAAATCTTATTAAAGTTGTGAAAATCATTTTCATGGATAACCACAGAACTATAATTAAATTTTGAGTTAACAGAACAGCCAAGTTTAATACAATGCACTGACAAGCTACAGCATGCACATGGTGACAAACAGTTATTCTTCAGAACAAGAAGAATTTGAAGGTAGTAACATGAAAGTCAGCATATTCCTCAAAAACCAGATGCTAAAGCTGAGTACTTAATAATAGACAATATACAAAGACATATACATATAAAGGTATCAGAAACATTTGCATAAAACCATGAGCAAGGGAAAAGCTAGTTACATATTAACGTAATAAGCTCAGAACAATTTTTAAATTTTTTTTTGATGAAAAGCTACATTTACGTATCGGCTGCAAAATGGTGAATATCACGAATTTGTTTAAAACAATTCCCAAACTAGGAATATTTATGGCAAGTTGGTAAACATTACCAAGCTATTAAAAGAAAACATACTTGAAAATACAAATACGAATTATTAAATAACGATTAAGCGATACATTAAAAAAATAAAATACAATCTTCTTCAAAACTTTATTATTATGTTGCACGTTTCTCCTCCTCAAGTACACAGCTATTGGTTTTTGCCTTAAAAAAGTAGGAGAATTGCTCAGAATTGGATGCAGCACTCAGCTATCGAGAAAATGCATTTCCTCGTTGTTCCTTTAGAACATTTTTAGCAAAGTCTTGTGTTCTTGCGGAAATTTGCAGTATTGCTCACAAGTTCTGCAAGCCATATCTTACAACTAGGTTTAAAGCAAAAAATATCACGACACGATTTGTTTAAAAAACCCTTGGACATTGGAATACAAGGAAAAAGAATGCACACAAAATGGCAGAAGTGCTTGATTGAATGTTTATTATAAGCATGATTGCTGCAAAAATGGTTATGCACATTGTTTCCAGAGTTTTTCATACACTGAAAATATGGCCATGTATTAAGGTAGCTGCATAAACATGCAAGTACTATAAAATAACTTCAGTTCCTCAAGAAATTTCGATTTTGTTTAAAGATACTACAGTCAAAAGTCGTTAATTCGGACACCCATAATCCGGAATGATCTATAATCCGGACCTCAAAGCTACAAACTTTCTGAGCATGCGTCGCGTTGACGCATGCGCGTAAGACCTTTACCGCTGCGAATTTGCGTGTGCAAAATACGTTTACGAAAGTGCGTTTAATGTATAACGGACGGGATAAGCTAAGCTAAAATTATCTAATTATCTATTTCAGTTAATGTAGCAGATTGCGTTGTTCCTAATCTTCGAATTGGATCCGGATTATTATTTTTGCATACTGTTAGAGCAATTTTATAAAAGTAAGCTTGAACTTTCGATTATGTCAAATAGAATTTCCGATATATATTTACAAATATGTAAAGGATATACAAAGCAAAAGTATCTTTCGGAGTCCATTAAACAAAAAGTGGAATTGCTGCAAAAAATGGATAAAGCCATATCCTTTGTTTATCTAAACTTTAACGTTTGTTTATCTAAACTTTGTTTATCTTTACGCGGCGGCGGCGTGCAGTGAATTGGAAGTTGATCTGTCAACACTATCCTTATCTTCAGGGCAGATGTTTTTATTTTATTTGGCTTATAATTGCTTACTCAATGTAGTATTTCATCTCGATGTACTCCGTCTTTGATATGATTTAAATCAAATGCATCGTTATTATAATTCGCTTCCGATAGCGAAGAAAGTGACAGAGGTTATTGAAAACAAAAAATTTCGATTGACGAATTAGTCGGTATTCTCGATACAGCAATTATAGGACTTGAACAGCGGAACTTTGTAACTGAACAAGAAATTATGTCTGTTTATAGAATTAAAGAGAATGTATTATCACATAAAAAAAACGAAGCAACTTAAACAACTTACATTGAAAAGAAATGTTTAATAAAGTAAACAAATAAATATTAAGCTTTTTTTTTTTTTTTGTAAATTTTGATACCCTTTAGATCATAATTGTTCTTTATTTCGTAAATTACGGTTTCATATTTTTAATTTTATAATTTCTGCATGCCATTTTACCAGATTTAAACTGATGATCTATAATCCGGAATTGCCGAAGTCCCGACAAGTCCGGATTAACGACTTTTGACTGTATAAGCTGCATAATGGCATCAAGAAGATATTTTCAATTAATGTTTTAAACATAGGATACTAAACAAATAAGCTTTCAAAAATATAAATTCTAATAATTCTCAACACTAAAAACAGAGTTCCCAAAGCTAATAAGGAAGAGAGAAATACATATATCCTACAGTGCTAAAGCTACCACAATATATATATATATATATATATTTTACATTTTGTACTTTTTACAAAAATGTAATGCAAATTTGCTTATAGTGCAAAATGTTACTGAAATTTCCATTCAAATGAAAATATTCAATGTGTCAAGCTTTCATATAATTCATGATATTACCTGCATGGGATGAATGTGATATCCATAAAATTTCCCGATTTAGAACAGTCTCTAACTTTTTGCTGTTTGAATATACTGTTTTAAACCTTTTATTACTAATTAATTACTAAAGATAAAAAAATGTTGCTTTAAATCAGCAATACTTTAAAATTACTTGACTTATCTCAGAAACATGAGGTTTTTTTCTCATGTGGAAACAAATAAATGAAAGAACTGAGATGAAATGATAAGGTAAACACACCTCATACAAAGTCATTCCTTTATAGCATGAACAAGTGATTACTGCACAGGTAAATAAAGGTTCTTAATAATCAAATTTTTTCACAAAACACACTAGCCTTCTATAATCTGCAGACAAGCGTCTTTCAAATTTTCTGTCATTTAAGTGATTTGTTACGTATGTAACTATTGGAGTTTCTCTCTGGTGTCACTAAGTATATGCTTTCTTAATTTAGATTTTTGAGAAAACAACTTATTAAGTACCTCACAAAGATGAAATTTCTGTCGAGTGTGAATAAGTATATGTTTGTCGAACTGAGCTCTTTAAGCAAATGACTTTTTACACACATGAGGTTTCTTTCCCCTGTGTATAGGCACATGGTCTTTTAAATGACTTTTTTCAGTAACTTACTTATTACAAATCTCGCACACGTGAGATTTCCCTCCTGTGTAAATATGGATGTTTAAACAACTCTTTGGAAAAAATGATTTGTTACGTACCTAACACACATGATGGAGGTTCCTCTCCTGTGTGAATAAGTATATGGGTTTTTAAATGACTTTTTTCTCTAAATGACTTATTACATACATCACACACATGAGGTTTTTCTCGTGTGTGAATAAGCATATGGTTCTGTAAATTCCATTTTTTAACAAATGATTTGTTACATACATCACACACATGAGGTTTCTCTCCTGTGTGAATATGCATATGGGTTTTTAAATCGCATTTTTGTGTAAATGATTTATGACATATCTCACAGACGTGGGGTTTTTCTCCTGTGTGAAAGCGCATATGTAAATTTAAATAACTTTTAACAATAAATGACTTGTTACACAACTCACAAGCATAAGGTTTCTCTCCTGTGTGAATACGCATATGGTCTTTCAAATTAGTTGTTTGAGTAAATGTCTTATTACATAGCTCACACATATAAGGTTTCTTTCCTGTGTGAATAAGTATATGTCTGTTTAAATGAGCTTTCCGAGTAAATGCCTTGTTACATATGTCACACACATGAGTTTTCTCTCCTATGTGAATAAGCACATGGCATTTTAAATTACTTTTTTCAGCAAATGACTTGTTACATATCTCACACACATGAGTGTGAATTAGTATATGTCTGTTTAAATTAACTTTTTGAGTAAATGACTTGTTACATACCTGGCACACATGAGGTTTCTCCTCTGTGTGAATAAGTATATGTTTGTTTAAATGATGTTTCAGAGTAAATGACCCATTACATACCTCACAAACATAAGGTTTCTCTCCTGTGTGAATAAGCATATGGTTGTTTAAACCAATCTTTTGAACAAATGACTTATTACATAACTTACACACATAAAGTTTCTCTCCAGTATGAACACGTATATGAGTGTTTAAATACCTTTTTTGACTGAATGACTTGTTACATACTTCACATATGTGAAGTTTCTTTCCTGCTGGAGTAAGCATATTCATGTTTAAAGTGTTCTTTCATTCAAATAAATTCTTACATACCTTACACATGAGCTTTTTCTCCTGTATGTATACAAAGATGTTTGTCTAAAGAATCATACTGCCTAAATGACTTCTACATACATCACACATGAGGTTTCTTTTCTGTATGAATAAGTAATTGGTTGTTGGAGGTACTCTTTAGTGTAAATGAGTTGTTACACACAACATACACAAGTACTTGTCACACACAACATACACAAGTATTTGTCACACACAACATACTATTGTGTTAATAAGAACACGGATATTGAAATTACAGTTATCAGCAAATGATTCATTATGTACCTCATATTATGATTACATCACATTAAGAAGCAAATGCTGCTGTTATTCACGATCTGTCTAAATGACGTCTAGCTACCTCACATACATGAAGTTTTCCTCTTGTGTAATTTGTGCACTTTTAAGAAGTTTCTTTCTCATCATAACATTTTCCAAGATATGTTGAACTATTAATATATTGGAGAAACTGAGAAGGTCTGAGTTGAATTATAATCAAGAATTTATCACTTACTGATGACATTCTGGGAGATGTTCGATTTCAGGATCAAACCTGGAATGCTCGAATGTAAGTAAAGTAGCTGGTGCATACACATCTGATATAAAACACTAATACATAATGTACAGAAGATACATTTAGTGCGATATACATTTGGCATGGTTTTTAGGAAGACATTTCATGAAAACTGTTTGTTATAATTTCATGAAAAATATGACTTTAAAACTAGCAGGTACAATATTACCAGGAAATATTCACGGCGTACAATAGAAGAAATAGGAGCCGTTATGATATTTTCCGCGCCGTAAAATGTACCACTTATTTCTTTGCTAAGTTATTTGCCAGCAGCTTTTGATCTCCCGCCCATTTCAAACAGCGGGTTGTTCACGCATTTTTTTAAAAGACTTTTTATAAACCTCAGCTACAAAATGCCGCATGATCTTCTTCGTTAGTGAACAATTCGTAAAATTCTTAGCAACAGCTTAAAAATGATTGCAGAATGCAAAAAAAATGAATGGTGAGTGCAATACTAAAAGAATCTGTCTGATATCTGAGACCCGACGAAGGAGGTTTACTCGGATATGTACCGGCCTCAGGGCAAGTAATCTCGACACACAAGTGCTATTGACGAATGAAGGGTTATTGTAATTGGCTATTTATCGCCGTACTGGTTATTTTTTGTTATCATACTTTTACGTATGTTGTAATTGCTATGTGAATGGGTTTGGGGAAGTTTTTACAAAATATTTACGACTCTTCTCTTTAGTGTTATAGTATAGTAGCAAGAACTTAAGATTATCATTATACATACGCGTGCATTAAAACTAATCAGTCTGCTCAAAAAATGCATTAGATATGTGATTTTACTCATGCATTATTTCTTCGTACATACATACACAAATAGAAATATATATTTCTGGCATATATGTATATAATATTTGGAGTGTGCAGTAGTTTTTAAAATGCATGAAATTTATGAAATCAGATTGAAATCTGTGTTATATTTTATTATCTATTTAATGGAGAGATACTTATTACTTATTTATTACTGATTAATAATTAATGGAGAGATACGTTTTATTATATTACGTTTTTATTGTCAAGTGGAGTAATCTTTGAAATATTATAAAAACTGTATAATGGATTGTTTTGCTAAGCAAGTTTTTTTCCGAACATTACGCTCTGTTAACTCTTTGTTGAATATGTCCACTGTATTATGAAAAGAAACCTGACATTGTATTAAAAACATATTTCCCTAAAAGATTTAAGGAAGGCAATTATTATTCATTTTCTCAAATATTTGTTTTTATATATTATGTAATGAATGAATGTGGAATTTTTTTTTATGATTGCAACCTTTGAAATCAATCAAAAATAAATATTTAGGTCAAAAGAATTGTGTATGTAAAAAAACTTGTCCACATATATATTTTCATGTTAACAGAATTTGTTTTTATATATAATGAACAATTATGTCAGAGTTCATCAATGCAGAGATTCCTTATTGATTTCTATTATTTCTACAATGTCCTTGTCAATCGTAAAACTGCATATTTGCAAAAAGTATAGATATATTTTCTTAAATAAAATATAAAAAAGTATAGATATATTTTCTTTGAAAATAAGTAAGACTGTTAAGTAGTGTCTTAGATATCAATTGTTTTATCTTTATTTACAAATTAGGGCGTAATCGGCAGATTACTGAGAAAATTTAGATGACTAAAAACTAAAGAATTTTGAATGCGAGAATGTTAGATAATTTTAGATACAGATTTTATTGCTTATTACTATATTTAACTACACTTATTATTGCAGCTTATGTAAAATTTACTGTTTCTGTTTAAAAAGTTGTTCTTTTTTACATCTTTTCACTTTTATGAAGAAAGTTGGAAAGCAGAATTATGGTGCAACATTTATTTCATATAATGCCTGCAGAAAAGTAGGACCAATTATGATGTAACAGGAAAAACAAGGAAACCAACAATTTTTAAGGAAGTATCTGCAGATATCAATTTTAACAGCTAGGTATATTATCCTAGTAACATTATTAGTCAAACATGTAACAAATGTAACAAATTTTTAACTTTTTGACCCATTTGGGCACCTAAATTATAGACATAGTGATCTTATAGATTCAAATAATTAGATATTAATAAGTGGTCTTCAACCTGTCTCCTATATCTTGCACAACCAGATATTTCACAACTCACTTTACATTTTCACTGCCATCTCCTTTACAGTTTCCAATGGACTCATTTTTTTACACCGAATATACATGTACTTCTATCTACATAATCTATGTATTCATCATATGATTGTTTCTTTTATTTATGTTTTATTTCTTAAGAAATTGATATGATTTTAAAAAAGGACAACATTTATATTATAAGAAAATGATTTAATGAAGGTGACCCTTTTCTTTTTACAATGAAAAAGAGGACAAAAAGCGAACAAAGCAGGACATTTGCGTCTTCACAAAATTTTTTTAAAGCAGTCACACGAACCGTAAAACGACTAAAATACAAATAAATTGTTGTTATTATTACTTCTACATCAATTGGCATGGCAGATGATGCCATGTTTATTGCATTTGACAAAATATGTGTATTACAACCTATGCCTAGTGTTTTCTTTTTTAGAGTAAATCTGGTAATTTTTCATAGACATTATTTACTCCTTTTGCATCTTTTCCCACCAAAATTTGTATTTGTATTATCTGCTGTTAGTGCAACAACTTTATATTTCAAATTGTTTTCATTTATTACTCTGTATAGATGGTTCACCAAAATTTCTTCGCCCCTCAATAGACTTTAAATTAAAAATTTTTATGTGAGTGCCCTTGTTAACATTATAATATCTTACTAGTATTGGATACAATTTTGTTTCATTATGATTCGATGCCTCAGATAAAACTGTTACAAATACTGCATTTTTCAAGTCTTCTGCAAGTATATTGTCACAATTATTATACTCAGAGTATAATAATTATACAGTGAAAGGAAATTTGTATTTGCATCAGATGTAAATGCGAACTATAATATTATAGACACATTAAAATAAACAAAGTAAAGTGCGCAAAAGTGTGAGGGTGCATGACAAGTGTGGCTGCGTGATGTTTTGATATGCCCAGAATGTGCTTGTCTGTGCATTTTATAATCATGTTTTTTTTTTCGAACTGCACCATCACATGACCATTGACGTGTAACATTTCGAAGCAGCATCTTTAACTAATACAGAGATAAACAGATTAGTTGTAAAATATTGAAAAGGAAGACAGTTGGGAGGACACTTCTTGAAGAAGGACAGAGTCTACCAAAGGAGGACAATTGGTCTCCTTGCATGGTGGTTCACATGTAACATTCTTTTCATTGTTACCTCCTGGGGCATAGCTAGAGGGGAGTGAGGGTAGGACATCTGTGTCCCTTGGCCCCCCCCAAGGGGAGCCAAACTGATGTTACTAAATTTTAAAATTAAATATTTTCCGTTCTTAGCAAACAAAAGGGGGTGCGAAAACTTCAGCTGGGCACTGAAAACCTTACCTATGACTTTGGTTACATTATCAGCTTTAAGATTTTCCCCAGGCAGATTATTATAATTCTCATACTGTCTTCGGACTAGTTGTAAGACATTTTAGCTCTGCGTATTCCTAAGCATTCATGATTTCATTTGTGATAAAATTTTCGTGGTGAATCATTTCCATAAGTTTCTTCAGAGTATCAGGTATGAGCCAACATTTCAGACATTAGCATCATATTCTGAAACACAAGCACAGAAGCTAACCATACAGAAATAAATGCCAATGATGATTTAATAGCTGTCCTTTTTTTTAAAAAAAAAAAAAGTATTCTTTAATAAAGGTAATATTCACCTTAGCTGCTTCATTACTTTTTACCATTTTTGTCTTATTAAAGATTTTACAGCAGTGCTGTTCTTTTGCAAAGTGGAGATCTGTATTAAATTTCTATTTTTTTTTAGATATGTACTGTTAAATATAATTTAACAGAAATTCAATTATCCTTCATCCTCTCAACATCAGTTTTTACTATTCACTTATATATTCTGATGGACAGAATGAAACCCCTAAAAGGCGAAAAATAAAAATAAGTAATAATAATAAAAAAGGATTTAAAATAAACCATATTGTGATAAATATGATTATTTTGTCATTTTATTTATAATAGAGGAATAAAATTACTGTTTTAAAAAACAAACAGTACTATGGAATAAAATTACATAGAAAAAAATTTCCATAAAAAATGACAAATGGTCAAATCAATAGTCATGTTTTTCCTGAATATATAAACCTTCATATCCAGCATGTAAAATTTTAATAGAAATTTCTATCCAGCAGTAAGAAATAGTATTGACCTAAAATGGCAAGGATGAGTCATGTTAAAGATGTTTGATATTTATTGTATTTTGTGTAACGATTGTAAGTTATATATTTCTTAAATGCAACTGACTTATATCATAAGAGCTTGCTTTTGTTTGCATAAAGGCACAAATC